TAAATATGAAAATACAGAGGAAAAAGCCAAAGTGTGAAAATACTCACTAACATTACAGAATCCATCAATTGTGGATTTTTAGGCCTTCTGTAAAGTGGAATCATGCAACATGTGACCTTTTGTGACTGGCATCTGTCACCTAATGTAATGTTTTTATGAATCACTCGTGTTATAGCATATCACGGCTGAATACTTTTCTGTTTTATGGATCTACTACACTGTATCCACTCACCAGTTGATCGTTAATTATTCCCCACTCTGGCTGTTATGAGGAATTTTCCTGTGAACATTTATCGCTAAGTTTTCAGATGGACACATGTTTGATTCTCTTAGGTATGCATGTAGAGTAGCACTGCTGGGTTACAAGTCTGCACTCAGTGCTTTGAGGAACTATCAGACTTTCCTGAATCAGCTACATTGCTGTACCTTCTCACCACTTCCTTAGGGTATGTTCCTCCACATGTCTGCCAGCGCCTGTTGCTGTCACTGACGACAGCAGCTGTCATGGTAGGTTAGGGTTGGTTTGCATCCCCAGTGGACAGTGCCCTTGAGCATCTCTTCATATACTTTGTCCTCCTTTTCTTTTCTTGGAGTGTTTCTTATCTATTTGTATGTATTCTTCAGAGAAGTCTTCATATCCTTTGCCCATTTTAAAATTTGATTTGTTGTTGTTGTTGTTGAGTTGTGAGACTTTATAATTGTGGATATTAGACTATTATATGTGGCTTCCAAACATTACCCCCATTCTGTGCATTGTTATTTCACTTGTCTTTTCCCAGTGGTGAGGCTCAAACCCAAGACCTTGTGCAGCTGATAAGCCCCGCCCACAGCCCCTCACTTTCTTAGTGGTACTCTTTGAAGCATAGACTTGTTTCATTTTGGTAAAGTCTAGTTTATGAATTTTGTGCCAGTTGCTTATGGTTTAAATGTCATGTTTAAGAAACTAGTGCCTCATCCAAAGACCTGAAATTTCTACTTCATATTTCCTGTTAAAGTATTATTAGAGTTTTACCTGTTGCAGTTAGGTCCTTATGTATGTTAATTTTGTGTGTGTGGTACAAGCTGCCCATGTGTCCCTCAGTCTGTGGAAAACCCTGTTCTTTCCCCACTGAATGTCAGGTGTCCCTGTTGGAAGTCGCTTGCTCATGAGTACAGGGCGCATCACCTACTCTCAGTCCCAAATGTTGCTTGGGTTGGGGTGGTGTAGGCGAGAGCAGAACTCATTAGGGAGCAAGCAGGCCAACGACTCTTGCTCTGGACCCCCTTCCGTCAGCACACTTGAAAGGGCTGACTGTGCCTCCTGATCCCAGGGAGTCCGTTAGAGCCGCTATGCACCGACCTTGGGCTCTGGGCAGCCCTTTTGCCTTCTGAACCTGCATTGTCTGTGCCTTACTCCACTGCTCGTCTAAGCAGAAGAGGAGACAACTAGCAAGCTTATTTCACAAAGGGAACCTAGATTCCCATAGGCCTCGGGAGGGGGTTAGGAGAGGACGAGAGTTGCCAGCCAGGGTACCTTCCAGAAGGCCCAGAAGTATTTCTGTGCAGAGAGTGTGTGTGTGTGTGTGTGTGTGTGTGTGTGTGTGTGTGTGTGTAAAAAGGCAGTTAACATTCCTTCCCTGGGGCTCTGGGTGGTGCCTCTGAGGGGACAAGGAGGGCAGTGCCACCAGAGGCAGGGGCATAGCTGGGCACCCTTGTGATACCTTCCCACATTTCTGGGGAGGGACAGTGACCCTGTGCCTCATCCAGCTCCAAGGGGCACAAGCCTGGCACCTCAGGCTAGCCCTCCTGCCTCGACTAGCCGTGACAAAGTATATCCTCACATCACCTAGTCCCTGTCCCAGGAGCATCTGGCGTCTGGTTGTGCTGCTGCTTGGGAGCCTCTCTGAGACACTGTCTGTTCCTACAGTCTGCAGCAGACGACCTTAGGCAAACCAATGCTCACACAGCCCTTTGTTCCCCCAAGGAAACTCCAGGCCCACAGTGAGCCTGTTCAGGATGGCTGTTGTGCCCCCTTGCCTCAGCCACATGAGCACTTTCCCTGTGGCCTGGGCCCTACCACGCACCCATCCCCTCCAGTGCCGTGTCTAAGTCCTGCATAGACAGGCACAAGGGAGGGTAGGAGGCTGACAGAGGGAGTGCTGGGTGGGTCAGGCTTTTTAATCATAACAGCATTTTTCTCTTCTTACCCCTGCCCCAGTAGCCTTGGGCATTCTAGCATTGATGTGTTACACAGGCTTTTCTGTTTGAAAACTTCTAGGATGTTAACGGAATTCAGCAAAGCCCAGGTAAACTCTGTGCCAACCTGCGGACCAAGCCAAGAGTCAGAGATGCCCACATTGCAGGCCCCACTGTCCCTCCATGACCTGGCCACCAGTGTACACCTTCTCTCAGATGTGCCTGCGGAGTCCTCTAGTGCCCCAGGAGGTGACCCCAAGCAGGAGCCACTGCCCGAGGCCCCCAGCACCCCACAGCTGCAGCAGCCAGTTGCTGCCCAAGCCGGTCCTGCAGGAAGCACTTCAGGCCATCAGCCTCCTGGTCCAGGAAGAAAGGCGAGTGGAGCTGTGAGCAAGGGGAGCAGCCTGCAGAAGACCCTGGAGGATGGCAGAATGGGGCTGAAGCTTGTGGTTTCCTCCCCCACCAGTCCGGTGAGTGGCCAGGCTGTGGGGTGGGTTGGGGGCCCTGGGCAAATGTTAGAGCTAAAGCAGCGTAACCTGCGCAGTCTCTGCGCTCCCTTAGTCCCCATTTGTGTGGCAGTAGTGTCATTCACATCTTAAGGGTGAGCTTGTGAGTCTCTGCTGCCTTGCCCCTGGGCCGCACCTTCTAGGTCATAATTCAGGGTGAAACCAGAGCTGGCAGACTGAGAGGCACACCTGCCCCACCCTCAGACAGCTGTGTGGAGGGGTGATTCACACCCATGTGATCACCTCATTGGAACATAACTCTGGCTTTCGGAAAATTGGTAGGGTTGTGTAACCATCACCACAGTCACAAAGTGTTTGGTTTTGTTTTATTTTGTTGTTTTTTGAGATCGGATATCCCTATCTAGTTCGTGCTGGCTTGAGCTCACTATGTAGCTCAGGCCAGCTCATGGTAAGCATCATGCCTCAGCCTCCTAAGTGCTAGGATTATAGGCATGCACCACCATGCCCAGTTTTCCCACTAGTAATTTATGTCTCTATATCCTCACCAACAATTAGTATCATCCATGGCATTTTTTAGCAATCACAGCCACCCTAGTGGTTAAGAAGTACAGCTCACCAGGGTTTGTACTATATGGCCCTGGTATGAAAAGACACTATACTTTTCATTTGCTTATTGACCTTTTGTTCTTCTCATAAGGAAATGTCTGTTCAATTCATTATCCCTTCTTAAGGGTGGTGGTGTGTGGCTTCTGCATTGACTTGTGGTGGCTCTTTATAGATCACAGATATACGACTTTTGCTGGGGGAGAGGAAAGGGACTGCAGCACAGTTTGCCTTTTGAGTCTTTAATGGTATTTTCCGTAGAACAAAAGCTCTTAATTTTAATGATATTCAGTTTATCAGTCATTTTGTTTATGATTTGCCTAGATGTATGTGCGTGTTGTGCTGTTTTAAAAATTTTTGTTTACTACAAGGCTTTGGCACTCTGCTCTAGTGTTTCTGGTAGATGCTTTTGTAATTTACCATCATAATGAGGGTTATACCCCTTATAGTATTACTCTGTGTGTGGCGTGCATAGGAGGCAAGATTCATGTTGTTACACATGGCCATCTACATGACCTAGCACTGTGCATTGATCATGTAACTGAGTCCAGCTCTGTATTTGTTATCTTGAAGGTGGCTTCAGGAAGGTGAGTATTATGGGACCCTGAGGGCTGAGGGCTGTGACTAGTGGCCGGTGTGATCTGGAGGCAGAGGGCTTCTCCTCAGCACTGCCAAGGACCTGGCCTCTGCCTTGCAGGCACAGACACGTCTGCCAGGGCCCCAGATCTGAAGGGACAAGACTGCCAACTTGGCAACAGAGCCCCTGTCCTGCCCACTAAGCCCCTGTCCTGCCTCTGTCCTCCTCGAAGCTTCCTGGGCAGAGCAAGCACTTGTTCCCTCTCTGAGAGCACTTTGCTGACTTGCTCCTGATCTTCACAGAGGTCTCAGTTTCCATGGTCCCACCCATCCTTTATCACCATGTACAGATCTGTGAGCTGGTAGTTATCTGCTTAACTGTTTCCAGCGCTCATTACTGGGCCACTAGCTGCTGACCAGAGGGCTGTGCCCGTCGACTTCTGTGTGCTCAGTCCTGAGCACTGTACCTGGGTAGTGGCCACCATTCCTGGTTCTTGGCCATGATGTGGGTGTGCAAGCCTCCTTAGAGCAGTGCACCCTCAGGGAGCTGGGTTGGACAGCGTGTCCCAGGGAGCATGGAACCAGAGAACCTGGTGCTCGGTCCGATGTGGAAGCCCCCAGTGCTGCCCCTTGGGTCTCAGAGGCTCTGTGGGTTTGCTCCATGAGTGGGCACTGGCCAGCGCTGCATAGGCTCCTCTGTAGGCAGTTCTGGGCATGCCTTATGTATCTGCTCCTGTGGCCCTCATTGTTCTGTTTCTGTCACTCTCATGCTTTTCATTTGATACATTTGGGAGGGGGTTAGGGTCACTGTCAAGTTTTACAGCCCTGAAAGCAATTCAATCCTTCTTGTAAAAATGTTTTGTTTTAATTCATTCAATACAAATCATGTATGGGTACTGGGGACAAAGATGGAACAGGACAGACAAAAGCCCTGCCCTTTGGGGACAGACCCTGGATTAGATAGGAGATAAAGTCCATCATGATGCATTGGTGCTGAGAAAAAAGGGCACAGAAGTAACGTTGTTGGCTCTCTGGCCCCACGGGCCACCTGCAGGTGGGATGGGCCCCCTCCTGAAGTTGTAGGTGTGGGTGGTCCCCTTGGCTGGGCAGAAAATCCTCAGGAAACAGTCCAGAGATTGGCGGTGCACACCCTGCTAGGCCCTCTGGGATTTAGCTGTGGGGCATGGTGTGGTGACACTGGATAGTGTCATTCCTGTGTCCTGGGTCCCTGCTGGCAGGTGCTACTCAAGAGCAGATACTAGATCAGTGTTGAGGATGCGGGGAGCTGGCCAGACAATGGCCCTGAACAAGCAGACCTAGAAGAATTACAAAAGGGGTGAGATAGGGCGTCACACTGAGTTTCCTACCACTCCGCTCTGCAGTGGGCACTCAGGCCTTGTTCCAGAGAGCTGCTTCCCACCACCTTCCAGTTGCTGACAGGCAAAGATCATCCCCAGAGAATCATTTCCAGAGGCTGCTCTGGCTTGTGGACTGTGTCCCACAATTCTTAATGGTCTCCAGTCCTCAGAGAAGAGAGCAGCCCTTGCTATCCCTAAACATGAAATTCACCTTTGTCTCTGTCCTCCTGGGCCCTGGCTCAGCCCCCTTCTGGTACTTTACTCTTTTCCTTAGGGAGTTTCCCTGGGTCCCGATGACCACCTGACACATTGTCTAGCTCCTGCAGAAGGAGCCCCTGCCAGTTCCTGGGGCCCATGGAAGGAGCTCCCCAAGTACCTGACTCTTGACTTCGGAGTCTTGTGCCATCTCAAGGGAGTAAACCAACTCTTCAGAGACAGCCCTAGCCCAGCTCCCCTCCTCTGCTACAGAAGCAAGAAGAGCAGTGTTGATTTAGAGCTCAGAAATAGCTCTGTGAGGATGAGGCTAGGCTGGCCTCATGCCTGGCACAACTCATTTTTGCCATGCACACAGCCCCTTTGGGCAACCCAACCAGCTCCTTTGCCCCTGCTGTTGCATGTTTAGGCTCAGCAAGCAGAGAGTAGTGAAATAGTGGGAGAAAAGAACTGGAATCCATACCACAAGCTGACTGCGCCCAAGCTTCCCTGCTTCCCGTCAGTGAACAACTTGAGGTTCGGAGCACAGCCAAGGGGGGAGCAGAGCGGCCCATGGGGACTGAGCCCCTGTCTGCCAAACCCTAAAGGCAGGTAGAGAAGTCCAGCCTGCAGAACTGTGGATATCCACCTGCAGAAGGATAAAGGTGCACCCCTTCCTCACACCTTACCCAAAACTCTCTTCAAGATGGACCATAGGCCTAAATGTGAGAGCTAAAATTACAAACTTCTTACCAGAAAATGTGGGAGTGAATCTTTGTGATGTAGATTTTGGCAGTGATTTTTTTGATGCAACACCAGGAGCACAGACAAAAAAGCTAAGATAAATTGTGCTTAATCAAAATTAAAAACTTGTGCCTCAGAGGGCAGCACTGAAAGAATGAAATGACAGCTCACAAAATGAGAGAGGTTACTGTCTTAGCAAACCGCATCTCTGATAAGGGTCCAGTATCTTCATTAACTCCCTAAGGCAGCCGAGACGGCATGCCATAAGCCGGATGGCTCAAAACAGCACAAACTTTCTTTGGTAGCTGTAGAGGCTGGGATGGTGGCCTTGGCCACACCAAGCTTGCCCCTGCTGAGGACCAGGCACAGACGTGTCTGCCGGGGCTCCAGACTTAAAGAACAAGACTGCTAACGTGGCAGCAGAGCTCCTTCCCTGCCCACTGAGTGACCTCTGTCCTCCGTGAAGCTCCCTGCACAAAGCAGGCCTCCGTTCCCTTTCCAAAAGCAGGGTTTGTTGCACCTAGAGATGATGCATGCCTGTCTTACTTGTGGTGTTGCTGGCAAACCTCGGCATTTCTCGGCTTGTATCTGCATCACTTTCCCTCCGTCTCTTGACTTGGCATTCATGGTTTGGCTCGAGAAGGTCCCCCAAAGTTCTCATGTGCTCATAGGTGAGGCTTTTGGAAAGTGATCAAATTGTGGAGGTGATGTTGTTGGCTTGAGGTTGAGATGGGGTCAGACAGGAGAGCCAGCTGACTGGGGCGTGGCCCGGGAGGGTGGGCGCCCTCCTGGCTCCTCCCACTGTGCTTCCCTGCCCCCAGGACCTGAGCCCTTCTGTCATGTTTCTTTAAGCCAAATCTAGACTGCAGCTTCTGAGACCATGAGCTAAATATACCTCTCTTTCTTTAAGTTGCTAATGTCACTTATTTTGTCCCAGCAATAAGAAAAGTGACTAAGGTGTGTGTCTGTCTTTGCATCTCTTTGTACAAGCTTACCCCACTTCAGTAGGATCTCATCGTAATTAAATATATCTGCAAGGACTCTTTCTAAATGAGCTACCCCAAGCCAGCAAGATAGCTCAGTGGACTAAGCATCTGCTTAGGCAAGCGCAGGGACCAGGGTTTGATCCCCCGCACCACGTGCTGTGCTGGCCCTGCCCCCACCCCCAGGCTCACTGAGCTGGCCACTGAGACTGGGCGTGGTGGCACACACCTGTAATTCCAGTGCTAGGAAGGCTGAAAATGAAAGGATCACTACGAGTCCAAGCTGTGTAGTGAGACCCTGTACCAAATACATAAAAATAAATAAATGAGGTATCCCAGGTCTTATTAGGGAGCATGATTCAACCCTTAACACAGCTCAACAATTAAAGGATAAATAATCCAATATTATGGATACAAATGTGTTTTTCTCCAGTGAAAGTGTACTCGTAAGTGTACCAGTAAAGAGATGTATCATCAGACATCAGGGAAATGCACAGCAGAGCCACAGCAGGATAGCGTTTCACGCCCCTCAGGATGGCTAGAATCAGGAGACAGAAAGGAGTTACTGGTGGGAATGTAAAGTCGTGGAGGCTCCTTGAGAAACAGCTTAGCCGTTCCTCGAGAAAGAAAACAGGGTCGCCTCCGATCGAGTGGTTCCCAAGTGTGTATGCAAGGAAAGGAAAGCACAGTCCACACAAAACGTGCACAGATGTTCATTATAGACAGAAGTAAAAGCATCATCTCCGTCAACTGATGAGAAGGTTAGAAATATCTGCTGCGTCCGTACAATTATCTGGCACGCTGATATGTATCTGCAACGTGGGTGACCTTGGAAACATACTGGAAGAAAAAAGCCAGTCACAGAAGATCACATATTACAGAAAATACAAATCTACAGAGATAGGAAATAGGCAAGCAGTTGCCTAAACCAAGCTGGGCTTGGGGACATGGAGGAAACTCCTGCTGAGTATGAGGTTCCTTTGGGGAGGGTGAAAATGTAAACTTTGATCATGGTAACAGTTGCACAGTTCTGTGGAGAGCCCAAAACTTCAATCATACATGCATTTATAAAAATCAGTTAATGCAACTACGTGTGGTGGCACAGGCCTATAATCTTAACGTTCAGGAGGCTGAGGCAGGAGGATTACTGTGATTTCCAGGCCAGCCTAGGCTACATAAGCAAGTTCAAGGCCAATCTGTACTACATAGTGAAACCCTGTCTCAGAAAAAAAAAAAATTAAAAGCTAGCCAGATAGCTCAGTAGACTAAAGCGCCTGCTTAGGCAGAGCACAGGGATTGGGGTTCCGTCCCCAGCATACCGTGCCAGCCCCACCCCCATGGTGTTCTGAGACGAACTGAGATTGGGCGTGGTGGTACGTGCCTATAATCCCAGTGCTTGGAAGGCTGAAAACAGGAGGATCGCTACAAGTCTGATCTGTCTAGTCAGACCTTGTAGACGCTGTACTAAATACACAAAAATAAAATAAAATGAGTTAATACTGTGATAAGTGAATCACAACTCAAGATCTTTTTGAAAAGTTAAAAACTGACTGCCTCTGTCAACCTTCTTGGTAGAAGTGCAAGAGCTGGATATCTGAAGATGACTTCCACCGGCCGCCCCAGGGGCCTGCTTCTGACAGTGCTGTGGCTGCTTCCAGAGGACTCCCAGAGCCAAAGGCCACTCTCCACCAGCACTGTGTCCAAGGACCAAGAAAGAGCTGCTCCCTGGGAGCCCTGGACAAAATGTGTGTGTCTTCCCCAGGACACAGGAACACCAGGGCAGGCCCCCTGCAGGAGCACAAGAACTTCTGGGTGGTACACCGGCGGCAAATGGGTAGGTGACTCCATAGGTCCCTTCTGCAAGATCCATGATTTTCAAGAAGTCCTGTTTGCCTTTAGCTAGCAAGCATGGTATTCTCACAGCAAAGCCTCGCCCTAGAACAGTGATGGCAAGCCTTTTAGAGCTGTCCATGGTACAGACAGCCCACTGCAGCACGCGTACCATACGTTCGCCACAACTGTCCCAGAACGTAGCAATGTAATACTTACAGTGCACACATACTTTGTAATTCAGAAAAGCATTTTGGGATACATGCTATATTCCATTAAAATAAATGTCCAAAACTGCCTACAGAGAAAAAAGATACTTAAAGTATTAAAACAGAAATCTTGCTGGAGTTAGGCCATAAAACTAGATTACAGGAAGGCTTGATTCCCTCAGGCTTAACGCAGTCCCTGCCCAGTTGCCTAGCAGCTCCTTCCAAAGGTTTTTATCTCCAGTTATTCATTTAAAACTCTGAAAGAGTTTATCAGATCTGTTGTGGATTTCTGTCTTTCGCATATTATTTTACAGTCAGGCCAGTTTGATCTTTACACCCTGTGAAAGTCCAAAAAGCATTAAATAACCATAACCTAATTTTTGTGTACCCTCCAAATGAGTTTTCTTATAAAACACTAAAACTGTGCCCACGCATCGACCCTTCTTTCCTCGTTTGCTGTGCTCGGTGGTGCAGCAGAGCTTGTTGCTGGGTGCCCAGGCTCTGGCCTGCAGTGTGGTGTGGGCACAGCACTAGTCTCCATGTGGCTTCTGGGTTTATATTTCAACCTGTGGGTGTCGTGGTAACCATGCATGAAGTATGTGCTTCATGGCCAGGGCAGCAGGCCCCCTGAGGGGTAGGAAAATCCAGCCTCCAGAGCATTGCGTGTGCCCCAGACTCCCAGTTGGTGGCCTCTGGGGAGGCAGTGTAGAGTCGTGTGAGGCACATCCACGTAACTCACCTGTTCCTTCCCAGCAGAGCTCCTGAGTGTTTGTAATCTGCCCAGCACGGTTCCAGTGCTGGGAGAAGCAGCAGGCAGCAGAATGGTTCCCTTCCTCCGCAGAGTGCGTCCTAGTAGAGGAGACAGCAAATACAGACCTCAGGCCGAACATGGTCAGGTGGTGACGAGAGCTGTGTGCGCAGAGTCAGGGCATAGCCCTGGAGAGTGTAGTCCTGCTAGGAGGTAGCCGGGTGACTCTCACAAGCCAGGTGACACTGGAAGAGAAGGAAGGGAGGGAGGGTGATAGGAGGCCATTTGGGCATTTCAGGCAAGGAAGACCCTGCACTGGAATATACATGACAGACAGGAAAAGGATTAGGACAGAGCCTGCAGGCCAGGACGCATGGAGCTGACCTGGCGCCTCTCTTAAACGCATCCCATCTCCCATGCTGAAGGATGTGTCAATGAGGGGCTGTCCAAAACCAGGCCAGAGCTATCAGGAGGCCCTGTGGAACCCTGGTGCAACCAGGCAGGGGTGGCAGCTCCTGCCTGTGTGTTGAAGGCAAAACCTACAGGATTTGCTGACTGGATGTGGACTGTGGAAGAGATGGCCTAAGATGACTCCAGAGCTTTTAGCCCAATCAAGTAGAAGGGTGAAATTTGCCGATGGTGAAAAAAGGAAAGAAGCAAGTTTGCAGCAGGCGGATCAGGGTTTGTTTTAGCGACTCTGAGATGCCTGTGAGACTTCAGTGGGGCAGGTAGATATGGGAGTCTGAAGTTTGTAGGTGAAGTCCAGGCTGGAGAGAACCGTGGGGGAGTTGTTGTCATGATACCCTGAGAGAAGTAGCTAAGAAGTGGGTGTCCTCGAGAAGACACCCCTAGGCAGTCCAGTCCTGAGAGGTCAGGGACCCAAGGAGACCAAGGATAGAGAAGAGCACCCCAGGGAAGCCTTCTGGCTTGGACACAGGGGTCTGGTGCCCTTCCCAGGGGCAAATTCTCTGGAGTAAGGGTACAAAAACCAAACTTGGGTGAAATCAAGAAGGAAAGGAAGGGCTTAGTATGTAGCTCAGGGACACAAGAACCTGCCTGGCAAGTGCAAGGTCCTGAGTTCAATTTCCTGTACAAAAAAAAAGGGAACAGAGATACAAGAGACATCAGGGGCTGGGGAGACAGCTTGGTGGTCCAGGTGCCTGCATGGCAAGTGCAGGGACCTGGGTTTGATCCCCAGTGCCACCTGTTGTGCTAGCCCCATGCTGAGCTGGCCACTGAAACCAGGTGGGTGGCACATGCCTGTAATTCCAGCGCTGAGGGGGGGACTGAGACAGGAGGATCACTATGAGTCTGAGCTGCATAGTGAGACCCTGTACCAAATAAAGAAATAAATAGGAACAAACGAACAATCTGTAGACAGCGGTACTGGTACTTCCTCTGGCAGTTCTGTTGTAGAAGGGCTCTGAGACACAGGTGGTAATTGGAGATGTGAGTATGGACTAGAGTCAATTTTAAAATTGAGAGAAATCCCAGCATATTTGTGTGCCCAAGAAGGAAAGCTCAGATGGCAGAGGAGAGAAGGAGCATTGCTGCAGACAGACTGCAGTGGGGGGGGGGTGCAGTCTTTTGTCCCTGGTGAGGGAGGTCAGGGTGCTGTGAGGAGGGCTCTTCCATCCTCCAGTACAACTGGGAGGCAGGGTCAGCGGTTGGGTGGAGGCGGGAGAGAGCTGCCAGCATTACTCCACTTGGCAGAACCTGAATGGCTTGGACCGCCGAGCTATCTCCCCAGCCCCTGCTGTCTCTCGCTTCTCTGCTCCCGTTCTTTTGTTTTGTACAGGAAATTGAACTCAGGACCTTGTGCTTGCCAGGCAGGTGCTTGTGCTCCTGAGCTCCATTCTAGGCCCTCCCTTTCCTTCTTGATTTCACCCAAGTTTGGTTTTTGTCCCCAGCAGGACAGTATGCACCAGAGGTGACAGTGGAAAGGGGCCCTGTGCTAACCTGCCTCTCTCTGCCTCCAGGGCTGTCCAACCCATTCCGGGGCCTCCTAAAGCTGGGCACAGTATCGCGGCGGGGGGCCATGGGCATCTGGAAAGAGCTCTTCTGCGAGCTGTCCCCAATGGAACTCCGCCTCTACCTGAGCGACGAGGAGCGCACCTGTGTGGAGAGCTGCTCCCTGCTGCGCTGCGAGGCAGTGGGGCCAGCCCACAGCGATGGCCGCTTTGAGCTGGTCTTCTCCAGCAAGAAGCTGGCGCTGCGGGCCTCCTCCCAGGACGAGGCTGAGGACTGGCTGGACCGGGTACGGGAGGCCCTGCAGAAGGTCCGGCCCCAGCAGGAGGACGAGTGGGTGAACATCCAGTACCCAGACCAGCCTGAGGAGCCCACCGAGGGCCCCCCAGGTGGACAGCCCTCTGACTCAGCTCTGCTCCCAGAGCCAGCCGTGCCCCACAGCTCACAGTGTGACTGCACATCTGCCCAGGTTCCAGAGCCAGACGCAATCAAAGAGTCTCTGCTGTACCTGTATACAGACAAGACCTGGATGCCCTGTATTTTTTCCCTGTCCTTGGAGTCTTTGAAATGCTTCCGTGTGAGGAACAATGAGAAGATGCTGAGTGACAGCCATGGAGTGGAGACCATCCGAGATGTCCTGCCGGACACAAGCCTCGGGGGCCCGGCCTTCTTCAAAATCATCACAGCCAAGGCTATCCTGAAGCTGCAGGCTGGGAATGCTGAGGAGGCTGCCGTGTGGAGGGATCTTGTCCGCAAGGTCCTAGCATCCTACTTGGAGATGGCTGAGGAAGCCATGACGCTTGGTGGGAGTCTGGACGAAAGCTGTCAGGAAGTGCTGAAGTTTGCCACCCGGGAGAACAGCTTCCTCCTGCAGTACCTGGTGGCCATCCCCACAGAGAAGGGCCTGGACTCCCAGGGCTGCTTCTGTGCAGGTGCCAGCTGACACCCACTGCCCCACCTGCCACAGCTCCTTGACCTGGGTTCCTGCCAGGGCTCCACCCCCCGGACATCCCCGCAGCCACAGCTTCCAATCGGGCACCCCCAGCCCATCCTCTCCTGCCACTTCCCTCTGGGTGGGGCTTGTGGATGGCAGCCCTGCTTCCTGTGCCTTCCACCCTCTAGCATCTTCTTGCTGTACTCTCACGGGTGTCCATAGTGGGCATGGGGTCCTCCTGAAGCAGAGATTTTGGTTTGCTTTTGCAAGTTGTGTTGTTCAGTGCTGCCCAATAGAACTTTATCTGGTGATGAAGGTGTTCTAGGTCTGTGCTGTCTGGCTCAGTGAACATAGTGCTTAAAGTGTAGCTGGTATGGCTAAGAAACTGAATTTTCATTTAAATTTTACTTAAGTGTAAAGGGTTACCTGTGACTCGTGGACACTGTCTTGGCCAGCATAGTTCCGTATAGTTCTGCAGCTTGGTTTTTTCTCCTTCGTAATGCATGGTGCCCAGTGTTCTCTGTCAGTAGTACATCTGCTAGGGAGTTTCATCGTGGAGCGATGAATTATCTCACTCCTTAACCTTCTCAACAGCCCTGTAGAGATGGGGGCTGCTGTTGTCTGTTTGTAGATGAGAAAACGAGGCTCTCGGCTGGAAGCACCTTGTCTCAGGCTCGCACAGCTAGTAAGTGGCACAGCGGACACACATAGCTGGCCAGGCCCAATCCTGCGCTTTAGGGCAGGACCCCAGAGGTCTCCCATTGTGCAGGCCTCACGACACCCACTGCCGCGTTCCAGTAGCTTCTGCCTCCCTGCAGTCAGGAAATGCCTACTCCCTGCTGCAGATGGCAGAGAGGCTGAACTGTGACTTCAAGCAGTCCCAGGGGTGGAGCCTGTGGGACTGCGCAAAGCTTGCTTCAGGTGTCTGGAAGGAGTGGCCTGCAGTGCCCTACAGGATGGGAGAAGCCAGTACAGCAGAACTTCCTGCAGAAGTACAAGTGAAGAGAGGCCTGCCTTTTGGTGTGAGGGCTGCAGGGCATTCTTCCTGAGCCCAGCCAGCCAGCCAGCCAGCCAGGCTGTGAAACCAGGGAGTGCAGCTTGGTCTCCACCCTGCAGCTTTCTGTGAAAAGCCTGTCAGATGGTGAAGTCTCTGTTGTCATTCGGTCTCAGGGCACAAGAGGACCTTTGCTTATGCCTACTTTGCCTTTGCAGTTTGTCTCTGCTTTTTTGTTTCTGTGATCCTGGTAGTGGGACCCATTCATGCATGCTAGGCAGGCACTCGCCATGAGCTACCCCCAGCCTTCATTTATCTTTTGTGATGAGCCTGCAAAAGCTAGAAGTAGCTGAGCTTTATAGACACTGAAGTGGAACTTGGAGAAAATGAGGTGGCTATCAGGATGAGGCAGTTGATCCCAAGGCCAAAAGGGTCCTTCCCTGTTTCCTCAGAAACAAGGCATGGGTCAGGCTTTAAGCTGGGGCTTAATCCTGGGCATACCCATTCCCCACTTCCCCTGCTGTGGAACAAGCCCTCTGAGACAGCTCCCGACAAGGTCCAGGCTGCCCTGCCCACTGGTTTCCCACCATTGTGGCCACCCCTCCTCCCAGCTGCTTTGCCGCTCACCCAAGCCCTCACTTGGTTGCCTCCTTTTCTGGGCCCCTGTGGACGAGCAGATGGAGAGCTCTGGGAAGCAGGCAGAGCCTTAACAGAGGCTTCCAGGTAATGGTGAGAATGAGGCAAAGGCCCACTGAACCCCATGGCATGACCAGACTGCTCAGCTTCTGAGCATCAATTCCTCATCTGTACAAAGGCAGTGATTACTTGGAGGGTACTGTTGCAGTTTAATAGTGTTGATTCTGAGTGCTGGAGACATGACTGAAGGTTATTTTTACCTTTGCACTCTCTTTTTTAAAAAAGTACAAACTAGCAGGGCTGTCCTGCCAGAGTGGCTTTCAGTTTCTCAGGCCTGACTTTGACCCACGCACTACCCCGTCCCCAGGCTGCCCCCGACCGATTGGCTTCTCCTCCGTACGACCCAAGCTCTGTGCCTTCTCTGGCCTCTATTACTGTGACATCTGCCACCAGGATGATGCCTCAGTGATTCCTGCCAGGGTCATCCACAACTGGGACCTCACCAAGCGCCCGGTAAGTCTGCTGGCAGCCTGTCGTGACCCACAATATGCTGCGTGACCTGGCAGTGTTTTTTGTTCCTGCTGCTCTTTGTGGGTCTGAAAGAGTTTGGCTGGAAGCAAGCCAGGGTTACTGGTTGAAGAGAAAATTTGGTGTCTCTGAAGTCCCAGAGCAGACCTCTGTGAATGCCTTCCTTGGTCCCCACTACCCACTAGGCAGTAGCTAGGTGAGTAGATGGTAGGTAGGTGAATATACAGGAAGATGAGGATATGATGGATGGATGGATGAGTGGGTAAATGGGTAGATGACTGTGGGTAGGTGGCTTTGCCAGCCCAGGGGCGCCCAGCAGACCACTTCTGCAGACCCTGCTAGCCTTACTTTTCATGTTTTGCAGAGAGCATTATTTTCTGGTCATCCACCCATTACTAAGACAGTATTTGGTTATTGCTTAACATTTAAAAATTACAAGCCCAAAGACAGATCAGAATTTTGTAGCCCAGAGAGTCACTCTTGACATTTTAGAGCACAGCCCTTCTGTGCATTCAGCCGCATGTCCATCCGCTTGCTGTGAAGTTGGGGCATTGCTGGACTCATCCTCCTCAGTCATCGCTGTTCATTTCATACCACATCTCATGTGCTTTTTTACATCTACCAAATGCTTCTGACCAAGACCCTTCAGATGTTCCTTTTCGGAGCTGAGGACATGGCTCAGTAGAATAAGCGCTTGCCTGACAAATGCAAGGGCCTGAGTTTAATCCCAAATTCTGGGGAAAAAAAAAAAAATGGTCCTTTTCTATAGCTGAGCTGAGCCAGTGCTGCAGGATCATGAGCAAATCAGTTCGGTGTCCTTGACCCCAGCACAATGATGGACTTCTTGTGTCCGTCTTGGGTCGTCATGAGGGCAGGTGCAGCAGTATGTGCCCAGCAGGGAGCAGCACCGTTCCTCCCTGAAAGCTCCTCATACCATTCACTTGTTCAGAGTCTGCCTCGAGAACACACTTGGCTCTCCCTGAAGGCTCAGACTTCCGCGACAGCTGCCCTGAGACACAGGAAAAGCCTCTTGATTCTTTGGGGGCACAGCGACAGCATGCGCTCTTGGCCTGCAGGTGTGTCCTGGAAGTGCCAGAATGGTTCTCCATCAAAGGGAACCCTGAAATCAGCCTTGCTTTGGCTGTTCTATTGTTTCTTGTCCTCACCTCTGCCTTCAGTGCTAAGTATTTAAATTAGCACATAGAGAAGAATAGCCCTCAAAATTGCCACTGTAAAGAACCCTCGTGAGGCCCTTTCCCTCCTCTCGAGGCCTGATGCTTCTGTTGGCCCAGGTGGAGGTCCTGCCCACCCAGGGTAGAGTTTTTTCTTTCTCCTCCACACCTACAAAGTGCGACTGTCCCTAGGCACATGAAGCCCTGCCCACCTGTGCCCATCCTGTGTGTCATTTAACCTGAGCCTCACCTATAACAGAGGCAGGATCATGGGAAGAGCTAGCTAGGTGGGATAGAGATAGCACCTGCCTGCTGAGCTGCCAACATCCCAGGGTGCCAGCCTTGGGGAAGAGGAGATGCCCACTGTAGGGAAGGAAAGAGGCAGGTCCTCACCCTCCTTTCCTGCCTGAAGTCCTCCATGAGGCTGGAGGACTGCATGGGCCCCCATGTAGACAGGTCTCTGTGACTTACTCTTACTGTCAAGCATGGCAGGGCCATAGGAGTTTGCACCAGGCAGCTCATGTTTACTGAGGATGAGCTTCATGCCAAGCCCAGTGCCAAGGACTTGTGGAATTGCTCTTTTCTTACAAAGAAGGAGCTCTCAACTTCCTGTGGTGAACCTCAGCTCCTTAGCACGCCACCAAGAGACCACAGGGGAAGAGAATTCTCCCTGGTGTTGAGAGACCACACTGCAACTCAGAGCTGGGCTCTACTCTGCACGATGGGCTGAGAAACCCTAACAACATCTCTGAGCTGCGCTTTCCTCACGTATCAAGTGGGGATGCTGCCTGCTTCCCGGGTGAGCTGTTCTGAGATGAGGAAAGGATGTGGGCACAGTCCCTAGCCCAAAGTCAGTGCATTACAGGTGCACAGATGCTGGTACTGCTATGAGGAGTAAGGGGCCAGTCACAGAGCCTTCAGCTTCCAGTCAGTTGGGAGAGGCTAGAATTGATGCCCCAGTAGAGGCACAGGGAGCACTGCTGATTGCTAGCCAGAGCTGGGGTGCTGGGGAGCCTTCTGAGTGGCATCAGCTCTTGAGCGATCTAGGACTGGGTGGAGCCCCCCGGCTGCTGTGTGGGCTGGTAGGGGGTGGGGGAGAGCCGGCCTCCTTAAGGCAGAGAAGGAGGGTGAGAACAGGAAGAGGGGTGAGGGCTGGGTCCTCGGCAGGTCAGGGTGCAAGGGAGCTGTTGGAGAGTACCTTTGCAGCCAGATCCCATCTGAACCATTCTAAGCTGTGTGACCTTGGCCAGGAGGCTGTGCAACAGGTGGGTCAAGGCACCCAGAGGGGCTCACTGAGCAGCCCTTGGTGTGGGCTCCAGGTCTGCCGGCAGGCCCTGAAATTCCTGGTGCAGGTCCAGGCGCAGCCCCTTGTCAACCTGCAGCTGGTGAACCCCTCACTGTACCAGCACGTGGAGCAGATGCGCCTGATCGGTCGAAGCCGTGAGCAGCTGAAGCTCCTGGGCGACTACCTGGGCCTGTGCCGCAGTGGGGCCCTCAAGGAGCTAAGCAAGAGGTAAGCACCCTGGGCAAACAGGAGGGACGCCCCACCAGGCTTGTGGAATTGCCACGAGCTTGAAGACTTGTCCATACGTTTATTGGTTTACTCAGCAAGTATTTATTGGGAAGAGAAAGTACTGAGCAGCAGATGGAGGGTGTTGGTATCACTCAGAGCTACAGCACTTTGCCCTCCCTGTGCCCCCTTCTTGGCCAGGCTAGCTCACTCCCCCCCCCCTTTGTGAGATGCCATGCCCTTCTGCCCTGTGAGGTGGTGGGACACCTGGGGCCATGCCCGGAATCATCTTCCTTCCACCAGGACCCAATCAGTTCTGGGGTGCTGTGTGCCTGGGTAACATGTGCGTTTAGCATGCTAGCAAGCAGGCCATACCTGTGCAGTGCAGTTTAGAGGAGGCAGAGAACAAGGAAAGATACACGACACCCCACCCAGCCTCAGCCATGACCCAGCTTCCCGTCTCTAGCATGAGTCTGAAAACACTGCGTTCCTATGGCCTGAGTGGGGTAAGGGTTTCCCTACCTGGCAGGCTGATGGCTAGGGCAGCATGTTGTGTGCCTCGAGGGAGGACACTGACCTAGCATGAGAGGCCTCTGGCTTTTCTTTATTCCCATTCTCTCATAGTCATTTATATTCTCTCTCGCTCTCGCTCTCTGTCTCTCGCTCTCTCGCTCTCTCTGTCTCTGTCTCTGTCTCTTATGTTTGTTTTGAGACAGGATCTCACTGTGTAGCCCAGGCCAGGCTTTCCATTTGGGGGCCCCACGTTTTAGCCTCCTGGGTAGTAGGATACAGACATGCACCACCATACCCAACTTCTGTCTATCCTTCACTGAGCAATTGCAAGGCCTCCAGGAGCGTCAGGTCCCGGTGCAGGCCCCTGGACCTGGCTGGTGTCCCAGGTTCCCAGGACTGTGGACAGAGGGCATATGACAGGGATGAACCTCCCTCCCAGCCAGCCATACCCTTCCTGCCAGCTCAGAGCTGGCCTGTATGTCCATCCCTCCCCCCAACATCCCTCCCCCCAATCTCCTGGTGATAAATGCCAGCTTCCTGTTTCAGAAGGCTGTGGGGAAAGCAGAATGGTGAATGGATTGGCAAGTGGGCAGTGTCCATCCCTGCTACAGTGTGCCTGTCAGGCTGCCTGTGGGACTTGGCTTCCCTGCCCCTGACGGGGAGCCTCTCGGACCACAGCAGAGCTGTCCATGGGGCAGTGGGTGTGGCTGCTGTGCTCCTGCCCAATGTCCAGGCATGCTGGCGCAGGTTTCCCAGCTTCCTGTAGTATGCAGTATCCCCACCCCAGGGCCCACAGACAGCAGGGTGAGGAGGTTCTACACCATGGTTTCCTGCAGGCGCTTCCTCTCTGACTCAGGATGTGATCCAGGTCCTAAGGGGGAGCAGTGGGAACCAGAGTCCTCCTTCCCCACCCCACCCTACTTCTGAAATAGATCTGGCCTCCTCACACATAGCACTAGCACCAGAGACCAAAAGAGTGCCTCAGCTGGACCCAGGGCTGCAGGAGGTCCTGGCCACATCTCTGCATTTCTGCTCCTGGGTTGTCCAGCCTCAGGCACCAGACACCTGTACCCAGGATCCAGCACTGGCTGTGTGACCTCAGGGAAGTTACTTAACCCTTCTGTTTCCTATTTTCTGTAGAGAGCCAGTCGCACAGGATTGTTGTAGGGTGAGCTGAGTACGTGGGAAGCTCTTAGCCCAGTGCCAGGTACCAAGGGCCAGCAAGCAGCAGCAGCATCTGCACTCGTTTATCGTGTTTCCTTTGTGCTGGGCACTGCCACATGTATTAAATGAATACCAGTTCTCCAGATAGCTCCATTTCTCAGCAGACTCCTGCACCTAACTTGCCCGTGTCCCACCAGCTTGTCAGTTTCCCTGGAGCCAGGCAGGGGTCCGCACAGTGGCTTCATGCTCTTGGCCTGCCAGCGAACAGTGCTGCAGAGCGGGAGACAGTGGAGGCTGGCCGGGGCAGGAGCCTGGCTAAGGAAGCTGTGTTTCTTCCAGGCTTGGATGCAGGCACTATCTCCTGGAGTCTCCCCACAAGTTCAGTGTCACCGACCTGCAGCAGGTGAGCAGGTGTGACCCTCCCCAGAGTGCTCAATCCTGGAGAAACCAGGAAGGGAGATAGAAAGAAACGGTCTGCAGCCCTTTGATTTCTCACCCTCAGAATGGGCTCCCTGAAACAGGCACTTAGCAGACCAGGGGCCTGGGGTAAGAGTTCAGGCCTCCTTTCCTCAAGGGGGAGCAGAAAGGTTTGGGTCCCATGTATGTATCCCATATCCCCAAAGAGCTTGGGGCAGGCCATCTCCCTGCCCACTTGGGGGTGGGGACAGGTGCCCAGTGAGGAGTCTGGCCTGGCGGCATCACTGCTAAGACCAGGCCTGCTCTCTTCCACAGATTGCAGAGGGCGGATACGAAGGGTTCCTCAAGACCCTGATCGAGTTTGCCTCCCAGCATGTCTACCACTGCGACCTGTGCACCCAGAGGGGCTTTATCTGCCAGGTGTGCCACCAGCATGACATCATCTTCCCCTTTGAGTTTGACACCACAGTCAGGTATGTGGGACACCCTCAGCACCCCATACCCTCAGCTTTACCTAGTGACCTGGCAGTGGACCTTAGTCCAGGCTGGGTAACAAGGTTATCTGGAACAGCCCAGGCCCAGGCTTTACCCTCTGCTGAGCCACCTGTTGCCCAGAGAGGTGATGCGGGCTTTCTGAGCAGGGCTTCCCTAACATCAGTCTGCTGGATGGGTTGAGGAGGGATCGAACAAGTTTGCACCACAGCCCAGAACAGGTGGTGAGTGGTACAGGCCACAGCTTCTGCACTGCAGTGATCATACTTGGCCTCGGTTACTCCTCAGGAAAAGAAGCTAGCTTTCCTTCAACCCACATAGGACCCAGTCACCCCTTTCAGTATATTCACCCAGCCAGGATACAGCCTACCTGGACCTGGGGCTGGTTTTAGACCAGAGTATTTAAAAGACAGCATTTAGGGATGCCAAAGCAGTTGTTACAAAAGTGCAGCAGGACAGAGTGCAGTGTATGCCGATGGCTTGCAGGTCGTCTTGTCTGAAGCAGGGTTTAGAGCAGGCCAAGGGCACTATGTGTGAGCAGGGGCTGCGGGACAGAGCACAACCCACTGCAAGTCTAGCCAGAGCCCAGGCCATCCCTGCCCCACCTGGCACAGTGGCCCTCTCTCCCCAGGTGTGCTGAGTGTAAGACCGTCTTCCACCAAAGCTGCCAAGCTGTGATAAAGAAGGGCTGCCCCCGCTGTGCCCGCCGGCGCAAGTACCAGGAACAAAACAGTCTCTCCTAACATGGTCTAGCATCCTGATTTGCCCTCAGCCCAGGTCTCATGTCCACCAGCATCACATTGTCTCCCCTGTCAGGAAGACCCCAGGTGGGACCAGGGCAGTGATGCCCTTGTCCCCTGAGACTCCCAGCCAGGGCCAGAAGGCCTGCACCAGGCTTGGCCCGCCTCATGCCACAGCTGTCTGTCAGGCTGTGCAAACACTGTGGTAATGAGACTTTGGGGACATTTTCAATTCCACATTCCTGATTAAAAGGTCTAGTTTTTTAAAGTGGATATGTTCCCCTCATATTTCAACAAAAAATATTTTTTTACTCTTGATCCTAAGCAAGGCACCGCAGAAATCTAGGCCTTCTCACCCTGAGCAGATGTGCAATAGCCACTCAGCCTGACATGGGGCAGGCAGGTGGCTGAGCACAGCCACTGCCAGGCAGACCTGCTGCCACTGGCAGAGTTGGGGTCCATCCTGGTGACCGTCATCCTCCTGCCTCTTGGCTGCCTTCCCCATGCTCCTCACCAAAGCCTCTCCCTTCTTAGCATCAGTCCCCAGCTCTTCTTAGGTCTGGGGTGGTGGCCTTGGCAAGAAAAGGCAAAATGACTCAAACCAGCACTGTCAGCACTTTGAGCCTCCCTTGTTCAGGGAAGGCTGGCATCGCCTGCCCCTGATCTCATGCCCTCCTTATGCCCACAGATGGTGAGGGCCACCTCAGAAAACTCTAGGGATCACATTCCCACACCTGACCTTGCCAGAGCAGACAAACCTGGATCCCCAAGAGACAAGGATCCCAGACTAGAGCCAGCTCTGGGCTCCACCATGGGGTGGTAACCTACTCTTGTGAGCTGTGCATGGTGTGCTGAGAAGCTGCCTGGTGGAGGCCCATGCAGCTCGGCCCTACCAAGCCATGGACTTCCAACGCCTCTTGAACTGACCCAGCAGGTCACTGCCAGAGCCCCAAAGGTTCCCTGGAGCAAGATAAGGGCCTAGACTGTTGCCATGATGATGTTCAGACCATAGCGGTATGGAGGGGAAGTATGGGTGTGAGTTCTGCTGTCCCCTCTTCTCCTGCACAGCAGACTGTCCTGGCCACCTGACAGTTGAGTTGGAAGCATCAGGATGTGCATCTTTCAGTCAGGAAGTGAGCCTTTGGGTGGGGATGCAGCCCAGTGAAGGACATCCAGCTAGTACCCCCAAGGCCCTAGATCAGTCCAGCACCCGAGGAAGGAAGACATGAAAGAATGATGGGTGGGCGGACAGATGGATGAGCCTTCCCTCCCTGTGCTGATAGGGCTGCTGAGTCACCTGCTCAGCCCCAAAGCTGGAGGAGTTGGGTAATAGAACAGAGGAGGCCATAGGGGGTGGCAGCAGCTACCACACAACTTCTCTGTCCTCACCATGTGTCCGGCGAGGGAAGGTGAAGACTCCTATGCCCAGTAAACCAATGCCTCCGGAGCCAGGAAGTGGTCCGTTGCCCCGCCCCGCCCCCATCCACAGCCAGCATTCATGCTCCCACAGACACCTCAGGCACCTGAGTGGGCAAGAGTTGCCTGGGGCGGGCCTTGGGCCTGGGAGTGTATCTGTGGTGCCCTGAAAGGCAGCAGGAGCAAGGCCTGGTTGGTGGGGCCTCCTCCCACCCTACCACCGTGAGCATTAAGCCGGCTCCTTCCTGTTCCCAGAAGCCGCTAAGGCAGTGAGGTGCGTTGACTAACCCACACCTCCAGAAGAGCTGCTGTGAGCCTCATCTTCAGACGCTGCTGTGTGCAATAAACCTTTGAGAGGGGCTTGACCCCTGAGAACAACTTGGCTGTGTGTTAAAGGAATTGTTGCTGTGTGCTTCTGAATGATTTACAGTAAAAGAAGATGTGGTCTTTTTCATTTTTCTCTTAACTTTAGAACCCTGACCCTGCCGCTTTGGGGGAGCTATCAACCATGGCAGGGGCTGTATGGCACCTCCTCTTCATGTGTGACCCCAACAGAGAGCAGTATACCCTTTCATGGCCAGGAGCAGGGTCCCTGGGTGGGGTCCAGGGGCTTTGGAAGTTCTCACACTATAACAGCTGGAGCAGCTGCCCATGGCTTCATTTTCTGATCCTTAAATGTGGCCAGACACTGCAGCCTCAGGAACACAGGGTGGAGAATGAGTTCAGGGGGGCCCCAAGACCCAGTGTTGTGTACTTAGGACCTTTACTTGCCAACTCTTCCTCAGAAGACTCCAGAGAAGCTGAAGGGCCCATGCAGGGAGAAGCCCCTCACTATCTCCGCAAGGACAAAAAAGGGAAACGAAATCCAAAGGAAACCAGGTTGCAGGAAAATGAGGCAGAGAAAGCGCATTCAGGTCTGCAGCTTCCTGTTGAAGATGGGCACCCCCGTCCATTCATGAGTCCAGCTCCCCCAGCAAATCCTCCAGGAACAGTAGGCAGGAGGAGCCAGGCCTGGCTGGGGTCGGGGCTGAGAACTGGTACTGCCCACTGTCCTTGGCAAAGTGCCCTTAAGGGCACGAGTTTCCCCTTCTGCCTACAAGAGGAGAAGCTTGGAGAAGCAAACGTAGCCTGAAGACTTTATCACATAAAGAAACAGTAATGATACTGGTGCACACCTGGAATTCCAGCACCCAGAAGCTGCCACAGGACGATCATAATTTCAAGTCCAGCCTGAATTACTTAGTGAGACTTGTGTTTCAAAAAATTTAAGGGTAGGTTGGTAATGAAGTTAAGTGCAAAGGCTCTGGGTTCAGTCCCCAGTACTGCAAAATAATAGCCTACCAGCATTGCCCTTACTGCATCTCATTCAGTCCTCCCAGTGGACCTATGAAGAAGCCATTACTTTCCCCAGTTTGTAGGAAAGAAAGATGTTCCCAGTCAACTAAAGGTCAGCGTGTGATAGCTCTGTGTATCAGACTGCCAGACCCCAGACAAGGACTAGAGCACACCAGCCTCTGCCACCTTCCTGATCCACGGAGTGACTGAGCAGGTAAGGATGGTTCATCCAGCTACTGTGCTCTACACATATAGGACACCATGTCTAGCTCTGCTGCAGGTCCGTTCTGGCAGATCCTAAGATGCCACCAAGCCTAAACACAGTGGTATACTTAGGACAGTGTGGACTTGCTGGTGGCCAATGCCAGGGTCAGATATGGAGGAAAAGGAGCCCAAGATAAGAGCTAGGCATGGTGGTGCACAGCAGAAATCCCTGCACTCAAAAGCCTGAGGCAAGAGGATCATTGTGAGTTTGATCCAGCCAGGTTTACAGAGAGGGTTCAGTTCGACTGCAAGTAAGTAGCAAGGCCCTGTCTTAAAACAAAACATGAGGGCACCAGGGCACACAGCTGCTCAGGTGGCTGAGGCAAGAAGGATCAAGAATTCCAGCCCAGCCTGGACAATGTAGGGAGAGCCCCTTACAAAAAAGGGCTGTTGCATCCCTCAGCAATAGAGTGCCCCCTAGATTCTGTGGGGGGAGTGGGAATGAGGAGGCAGTTTGTAGGTGTAATTCAGTGAAACCCTTGATGCTGTTTGGGTTTCTGGAGTCCAACCTTTGGAATGGGGGCTCCCTTCTCTCATGTAAGCACTTAAGCAGACTCAGCAGGAGCACCTATGCAAATACACCATTGTTCCTTGCAAGCCCTGAAAACAGGTCCACAGGGCTTTGCACGTGTCTAGAGTGAGAACTGAGTCATCAGAGGGACAAGGCTGCTTTCTCCAGAGGCAAGACTATTCCAGAAAGACCTCAAGGGAAGGGTCCCAAAGTCTGTTCCAGACCCTGGCTCCAGGAGGCTGCTGGGAAGATCGGGAAGAACTCCTTTCTCCACACTACAAGTGTACACTATGAGGGCAGGAGTCTCAACAGGAGAGAAATCAGGCTGAAGTTGTTGGGACACCGCTGGCGTCCTCATTCCCTAGGAACAGCCAGCAGTGGCCCAAGATCCATCCCAGAAGGTGCATGGGGGAAGGGGTGGTGTCTCCACGCCTGGAGCTCGAGCTGGCCCACAGGAGACAGGAAGTCAGGATACCGGGGATTGTCTTTTGCAACAGCAGCCCAGCCCCAGACTGGGAGGAAGTTCTGCAGAGCTCTGGGCCGGTGCCTCCCTCGTATATTGTTGAACAGGAAGCAGGGCAGCGCCGAGGCCAAGCGGTGCAGGAGGGAGCGCGGCACTCGGAGCCGCACGAGCCCCCGGGACAAATGGAAGCAAGGCCGGCGGGCCGACGCCCTGAGGTGCCAGGGCCGGGCAGGGGGAGGGGGAAGGTCCCTGGGTAGCAGGTCCTTGCCCAGAGCCCCGCGAGCCACTCGCTTCGCATTGCGCTGGGATGCGAGAAGGACCCGGTGGGCCGGCTCCCCTGGGGAGATGAGGGGCCGTCCTCTGCCCCAAAAACCGGGTGCTCCGCACCGACACGGGCGTTGTGGCTCCCCTGTGTCATTTGGGTAGCAGGCACCTCTAGGCGGCCGTAGCTCCCCAGGATCGCAGGCACCAGGCACCTTCTTGCCTAACCTGGGACCCAGCGCTGCGGCGGGTGACACTGCAGTGGGAATGTCCCTTAGCCAAGAAAGGGCCTAGAGCGGGGCGGAGGAGGGCCGGGAACGCGCAGGGCAGGTAATCTGTCTGGAAAAACTCGTGGCTGGTGGTTCAGGATCAAATGGCCTGGCTCCAGCCCGGCATTCCCAGAGCCGCGCGCCCATGGGTCGTAGGGATCTCTGAATAGCAGACCCCGCCAGCGCAGGAAGCCTGGGGCTTCGGACGCCCCCCCCCCCAGTACCCCTTCCAGTCCCCACGCCTGGTCCCCCAAGCCCATTAAGGGCCCCTGCAAACGGGCTGTGCCTGGGTTAGGTTACTCTCGGCTCTCCCTTCACCAGCTCCGGCGCAGGCTGACAGGCTGCTCTCCACGCCCAGGCCTGCGTTGGCTGGGGTCTAACCTGCGCTCTCCCCGCTCGCGCGCCCAGCCTATGGGCTCCCCGAGGCCCACCTGGCCCAGGCGGGGGTCTGGGAAGGAGACGCAGGGCGATCCCTGTGCAGGCTACCTCAAGGGCCCAACGTGCTCAATGCCTCAATTTACACCCATCAAGTAACATTTGAGAAAGTAAAAGAGCACTGTGACTACCTAACCCTCTGCTCGTCCCCGGGGTCCTCGCCTCTGCAAGAGGCCAACTCCCGGCTGCTGGCGCTGGGCCACCTTGTGGGATCGGAGCTGGTGTGGTCCGTGTAGAATTCACAGCAACTTCCGGTGGTGGCCTGGGTCTTGCCTAGGTGAAGGCGCGCGAGCAGGCGCAGCTAGGCTGAGCCAGAATGGCCCCAGGTAGTTGATCCATAGAGCTCTGGGGGTCTGGAGACAGGGTTAGTCACCGTACAGATCTCGGGGCGGGAATCCCGGGCCAACCCTGGGTTCACATCGCGGCCAAGCCACTGGGGAAGGGAAGAGAAACTGAGAAAACCGGTTTTCCGGCCTTGGCAGCCAAAGCCCTGGGACTTAGGCAGGCAGGTGCACTGCAAGGGGTGGGGAGCGGCGCCCTGGGCCCCAGTGGATTGCCTGCGAGAAGTATTTTTCCCACTTCTCCAGTAGGGAAATTGAGGCTCAGTCAAATACTAGGCAAAGGAATCATGTCATGTTCTTGAGCCAAGACTTCCTGGCAGTCAAGCAGGGCCAGTGTCACCACCATATACTTTCCCACTGCGTGACCGAAGCGAACCCCCAGTCTTAAAAATCAACGCCACGAAATGAGAGGGTTGTCCTAATTACGGCGCTGAGCGTAAGATAGGGAATCCGGCAATGATTTCATGCAAGGCCCTTTGTCAAGCCCACTGGGCACACAGGGCGGGCTCAGCCATTTCTCTGTCCACTTGTGCTTTCGGAGCTCCTCTCACCTCGCCTTTTCCCCTTGCTGGCAGGAGAACGCGGCGACCGTAATGGCAGCGGACGTCGAGGGCGAAGTGGACGTGTTGGTAGAACATCCCTTCGAGTACACCGGCCGGGACGGGCGCCATGTCACCATCCGGCCAGACGAGCGCTACCGCCTGCTGCGCCGCAGCACGCCACACTGGTGGCAAGTGCGACGCGAGCCCGGTGGCCGCCCCTTCTACCTGCCTGCGCAGTACGTGCGCGAGCTGCCGGCGCTTGGCAGCCCAACCCCGCCCGCCCGCGCGCCCCGACTCCCGGTGCCGGGCCTTCCCGCTCGCATGTACGCACGGCCAGCAGCGCCTGTACGCCCCGCACACTCCCTGGACGACCTGGCGCGCGCTGCCACGCCCCCCGGAGCCCTTCTGGAAGACGCGCGCCGAGCCAAGGCTTGCAGCGTGGCGGGCTCCTGGGTGTGCCCGCGGCCCTTGGCTCGCAGCGGCTCAGAGGATGTGGACGAGGCTGCCACGGAGGGGACCCCGGAGCAGGTAAGCCCCGAGGCGCAGCGGAGACGCGTGGCCGACCGCGGCCCGGGTCTGCGACTTCAGCGGCGACGCGCTCGGGAGGTATCCGTGCCGAACCGACGTTCAGGAAGCTCTTATTCCTCTCACTGCCGGGAAGGTTCGTGTTCCACCCGGCCGGGAACCCGGCACCCCCCTGCGGTCCGAATGCCCCGCACGGAGCGCGCACGCCGCCTGGTGGCGAATGGGTCGGGCGCTAGTGTGGTGCGAGAGACCCGAGCCGCGGCCCGCCAGTGCCTTCTGCCCTTTCGGCTCCTCGCAGAGCTCGCGGTAGATGGGTTCTGAAAGAGACGCAGGTTGTCGAGGCCCCCCTCGGAGTTGGAATGTGTTTGGAATCGAAAACCGCGCGTTTCTAAGACACCCATGCATCTCCAGAGTCCTCGCTGTCCCCACTGTCTCGACCCAGAGGGTCGCGCGGGGAAGAAAGATGCCTGGAACCACGGTTGTCTCTGTCACATCCACCGGCCGGGATCCATCGGCGACTCGATTCCTGTCCCAGGGTTCGGTTTGCTCTTTAGCCTGGAGGAGGAGCTGGTAGGGACGCCCATCGCACCCACGCTGATGATGCCCAGCCCCGGAGGGGTGGGCCACCTCTCGCCCCTGTGCCACCCCGCCTTTCTCGTTGCCCTGCAGAGTTCAGGTTGCGGCAACGGAAACTCAGACTTGACCCTGCTGGGTCCCCTGCCAGTGACTGCCGAGCCACTGACTGCGGGGCTGGGTGCCCTCGAGTGTAAACATTACAGACAACTCGAGTTAGCTGTGGGCTTTGAACAAGGGACGGCCCCCTGCGTCCTTCTCTCGCTTTCTGCCGGGCCGACCGCCCTCTCGCGGCCAGAGTAAGAACAGCACTGGCGGGCACGCTGGCGGCCAGCTGTCTGTGTCAGGGTCCTCCGCCAGCTAGCTGGGTGCTTTCCTTAGCATAAGAGGCGGGGTGCCCGCGCTCCATCCCGGCGGCCCTGTTCCCGGAACTCTTCGGTGCTCTACGGGTGCTGGCGCTTAGTGGTGGTGGGAATGAGTCCACTGCCTCACCACTCACGCTGCTAGAGTTGGAGTGAGGCCTTGCACTCTGAACCTCTGGCGGGAGATTGCACGAGGGTGTGCGTCGAGAAGGAGCGTGCAACGACGGCCCCCTGCCGGCAGCCTTCTCAAGGGCTACCACCCCAGACTTCTGGGTCTGTGCACCTTCTGAGAAGTCACCCCAGCCACCAGGGTTCCTTGTGCCCTCTTTCTTCCTGCAGTGGTTTGGGGGCCATAGGGAAAACCAGGACTTCGAGAGACCTGGGTGTTGGGCAGAGGCGCTGCTTCCTGGCTGTACTGTGGCCCTAATGCAACCCCCCAATCCCTCCCATCTGTGGCTCTCCCCACACCCTGCTCCCAACCAATGCCTAGGGTGGGGAGCTGACCTCCTCCAGAAGGAATCCCCACCCTGCCTTTCTTTGTCAGGGTAGCATTTCAGGAAGGAGTCTCCACCTCAGCATGCACAGGAGGACCCCTTAAGCAGGAGTGGTTGACCACTTTGCCTATCCCCAAGTGAATTTGCAGATCTGCACAGCCACAGCTTTGGGGCTGGCTCTCTGGGACCAGTGGTCTGCAAAAGGGAACAGTTTGTGGGTGTGGGCTGAAGAGAAGTGTGTACATTTGGGGCACCAATAGCACTGGTTCTGGCAGGGTAGGGTGGAGTAGGGGTTGTGCTTGGGCCACGCCTGGACCTTCATCAGCAGTGAAAAGGCTTTTCTCAGAGAAGGGACTGGGACATAGGACAAGCCCCTATGGCTAGGGTCCCAGGAATGGCCAAGGACTTCCGTAGTTTCCCCTAGCATGGTGTGGAGGTGAGAAAAATGGACAAAGGAAGGAGATGGGGCAGAGAGGAAACAGCCAGGGAACAGGAAGGAAAAGCAGGCACATGGTGGCCCAGAAGCCGAGGAGAGGCTTCCAGAGGAAAGGGGTGACAGGAGGGTCAGGGTGGATGAAGGCTGCAGGACACTTATGTGAAGTGGCTGTCCGAGGCCAGCTGGCCAAGGACGACGGAGGTGGGTGGAGACAGCAGGAGGGAAGGAAGAAACAGTCAGGAGCCCCAGGCTTTGCAGGTGCTGAGCAGGAACTGGGGCTGACGAGGAGTAGAGGTGGGTGAGGAGCAGGGCGCTGGAAAGGGAAGGGTGCCAAGCCTGAGACAGAGGGATGAAAAAGCAGATGAGGAACCTCTGCCACACAAATGCATTCCAGCCCAGGGCTGCAGCTCATCAGCCTGGACCCTAGGGACACAGTGTGCTGGAACAGGCCCCAAGGGCTGACTGCCCTGTGGCTCTCATGACACAGGCATCCATCTGATCCAGAGAGGGTCTGTGGGCTGAACTCTACCCCCACCCAAGCCCCAGGTTATCTCAGCCACCCTCCTATCCCAGCCTCGCCCTCTATCCACAGCTAAGGTGCCTCTTCTGGAGCTGAGCCAGGAGGCCAAAGCCCCACCTCTGAGGGCCAGAGATGAAAAGAGTGGGCAGGGCTCGCCCGGAGGGCCCCGCCCACCCAGGCGGCAAGGCAGAGCCCAGGAATGGCCAGGGACCTTGAGTTGTGGCCTTCTTCCCAGCCCTGGGCCTTGGCCCCAGGCATTGGAGGCCAGGCAGGCCCAGATCCAGCAGGGAACCCGCCCTGCTGCCAGGCATTGGCCAGCTGGCCTGACAGAGTTAGAGCTGCCCTGAAACTCCTTGCGCAACAGCCCGGGAGGCACCACACCTGAGCAGGCCTGGCCTGGAAGGGGCCCCAGGCCTTGTTCCGCCCTCTCCACAACCGGGAACCGTGAGTGACCTCTCTGCTGGCAGCCTCTCCTCCCCTGGACTCCCCACTTGGCCTCCGCTGAATGCTTCTGGGACAAAGGTCAGGACCGAACCACCCATGCCCACTCCTGGGCAGCCAAGGAGTTTGGTAAGAGTGGGAAGCTGAAGCCAGGTTGAGAGGCTGCCGCGAGCGGTGTCCCTCCCTCAGCGCCTCTCCCGGAGCACTTGGCGGTACTTCGCTGGCCTCTTCTGCCTGGCTTGACCTTTCCTCCGCATGACTCACAGCAGCCCCAGGACCTGGCTTGTAAATGAGAAGGCTCTCAGATCCCATTCCTAGGCCATGTAAGGGTTCCTTACCATCCCGCACCAGGCTGAAGCGGCTGTGTCCTCCGCACAGCTCCCTGGCACCAGACCCAGTCCTCAGCCTTGGTCTTTGGTCCTGTTAGCCCCCAGGCCTCTGAGATGCGACCACTCCCTGCCTCGGCCCAGCCCCAACGTCTCTACCCTCCTTGGGCTGACAGCAGTCTCTGCTGCACAGTGCACTGGTCAGCACCAGACCCTAGGGCTCAGGATGAAGCTAGGGGGTGGGGGCAAGGGCTCGGCTGGTGGGCCGGGATCTGTGACCATTGGTCAGTACTAGGGAGATGGAACCCATGGGGCTGGCGCCCTAGGGTCGGAAGCATCGTAGTTCTCACTTAGATTTGAGAAGCTCCATTTCCACGCTGAGGCAGGCTCTGGTTGGGGTGGGGTGTGGGAGATGCTGCCTAGCACAGGTGAGGGCTGAGGGCCCTTGTCCAACTCGAACCTGAGCTCCCAAAGGCACCAGCACCAAGTCCTCTCCTTCGCCAGAGAGCAGAGCTGGTCCTGTGTTGTCCTGGGAAGCAGAGGGCTGAAGGTGCTGCCCCCATGTATGTCTGCTCTGGCCACTGGGAGAAGAGGGGTAATCCTGGGGTGCATATGAAAGTGCATGACACCTTTGAGGTTAGAGCATCTGATGTGGTGCATAAGGGAGTCTGCCTCCCCCGCTTCTCCCATTCTCTGTTGGAGCATGCGCTTGAGTGCCTGGTGGCTGCAGGCCGAGCATGCCCAGCCCCTGAAGCCTGTGTATGCATATGTAGGTGGCAGTGTCTCCAGCACCCAACTGAACCTCACTAAGAACCCTTGAGTAAGGGAATGTTCGGTCTCTTTCCTGCTAACATCTGGGTGTCTTCTTGTGCTTTAATTTCGCTTGGCTTCTAGCATGTGCTGACTGCCAAGTATCCTCCGGCTTGTCCTTTCTCTTATCTTTTAAGACAGGTCTTGCTGTGCAGCATGGGAAGGCTGGGCTCGAGTTCTCACCCTCAAGGCCCTCCTTCCCCACCTGTTGAGTACTGGAGTCTCTGGTGGGCGTCCCACAGCCTGCAAAGCACACTGCTTTTTTGCTTGCATATTCATTAAGTCAGGAAACTGCAAGTGCTAACTGGCCAGTGGGAGGGCCCTGGCCTCAGACAGCACTGGGCAGCAAAGCCCAGAGTCAGGGCTGGTGCAGGCTCGCTGTCCCCACCCTGGAAATTCGTTGGCAGAAGTCTAGGCACACTTCTTGGAGGAGAAGGCTGGCCTCCCAGGCCACCCCAGAGCCAGGTTCTCAGTGGCAGACGTTCTTCTCATCAGTGCTAATTACTCTGTTCTAATTTACTATTAGTTAATTTTGGCTTTTTTATTTTTATTAGGAAAGGATTTGTTTTCTCTAGATTTGTAAAATTTCCATTAATAAAATACATTGTGATCCCTGATTCCGTAAAAACAAAAAAAAAAAAAAAAAAAAAAACCAACAACACTGTAGATTTCATTGGAGACAAGGAAATGATTTTTCTAAGTTTTCCATAGATGTAGAAAGTTATGTTTTCTCTGTGTAAGGGATGTAAGTTTCCATGTGGGTTGATTTGTTTGTAATGTCGATTCAGACTTTTATAGCACTTTTGTCTTTGTCTCTGATAGAGCTTTTTAAGTTTCCACTCAGATATTATCCATAAACTTCTTGTGCTTTTCTTATTTATTTATTTATTTATTTATTTTTGTGGAACCAGGGATTGAACTCAGATCCTTGCATTTGCCAGTCAAGCGCTTATCCTACTGAGCCATCTCCCCAGCCCCAAAATAATTATTTTTTTGGCAGAACCAGGAATTGAACTCAGGCCCTTGTGCTTGCCAGGGAAG